AAATTTTTTCCAAAATTGAATTCCAACAAATTAATATTTTCTTTAACAAATGTTTTTCACTTATTAACAAATGTTTTTATCTTATCTATCTTTTTTTATTATTATAAATAATAAATATTATTTTAAGAAAAATGTTACGTAACCATAGATAGAAAGATTTGTATTCTAGACTTTAAACTGAGACACTCTAATACATTTGTTTTCATTTACATTTGTTTAATAAAATACGTATTTTATTAAACAAAAGTTTATTTCAGTTTCATTTTAAAGCAAGAATAAAAATTTGAAATTATGCTATTTTAAACGAAAAGTTGTAATATATAATAATTATAATTTAAATTGTATTAATATATTATCATAGATAACGGGTGCAGGTCATGGTATCGGAAAGGAATTAGCGATTGGTTATGCTTCGTTAGGAGCAACAGTAGTATGTTGGGATATTAATGAAGAAAATAATAATGAAACAATGAACGATATTAAAAAAAAAGGAAATGACTCAGTGTATGCATATCGGTAAATTTATATAACAATGCTTCGTGGAACACAACCTAGATATAACATACAACCTAGATATAATGTGAACACCTATTAAATTATCAATTCTAATTAGAATCTGTGTGTTTTACAGATGTAATGTAGCAGATGAAAAAGAAGTTTTCAGAGTAGCCAAAAAAGTAAAAGAAGAAGTAGGTGACGTAACTATCTTAATTAACAATGCCGGCATAGCGTTTGTCAAATCTTTTCTGAATCTAAGTCCTGATGAAATTACACGTGGCATAAATGTCAACATGACAGCGCATTATTGGGTAAGTATATCAAGAGATATTAAAATTACAAGACATAAAAAGCAACCGTTAATATAATTGACTTTATTTTTGGAAACGGATATATTGCATCAACTTGTTATATTTGTAAATAAAGTGTATTAAATGGTTTAGATCAATATATGATTAATGGCCGCAGCACAGACTCTTGCATAAGGAAATCAATCAATCGAAATTCTTCTTTTCCATAAAATGGGAGAAAAGGAAAGATTCTGATTAGTTGATTTGCTTGTATATGTGTTATGTGTTATGCAAAAGTCTGTGCTGCGGTTATGAGCTTCCGAAAATTACTATTTACAAAGTAATATTACTTTCAGACATTGAAAGCATTCTTATCTAGCATGATCGAAAAGAATCATGGTCATATTGTGTCGATTTCATCTATAGCAGCACTTTTTAATATATGTTATGGGACAGTTTACTGCCCTACAAAATTCGCAGTTTCAGGTAATTCATTCCTTATTGAATGATTATAGGAAGGAAAAATATGATTAATACACACACACACACACACACACACGCGCGCGCGCGCGCGCGCAATGTCCGGAAATTCAACCGCAAACTTTCAAAGATTGTTGGGGGCATCAAAAGGATAATTTTATGCAAATGGATCTAGGATCGAAAGCGTGTCGTTACATCGCTATGGCAGACAGAATGTTCGAAAAAGATCGGATCTCGAAATATCTCAAAAAATATAAATTTTATAAAAAATTGTTTTAGACAAAAGTTGTAGGGTGTAAAAAGATTTATTTGATCTTGGAGGAGAGGGGGACTCATAAAAAAAGTGAGTTTGGCACTCAGTAAGAAAGGAACAAAATCAGAAATAAAATATTTTATTATTTCCTCAATGATGATTTTAATCTAATATGCGTTTTAACAACAATACATTACAGTACTGTTTAGAAATACATAAAACTGAAGTCTATAAATAAATGAAAGTTTTTTTATGTTTTTTTTTGTATTTTTTTTTTCTACTTCTGAAACAAGTTTATTACTCATAGAATGATTGTATAATAAAAGATAGAATATACATATATGTACATATAACTAATATTTATGTATATAAATATAGACATATACATATATATGTGTATGTTGAGATCCTAAAAAAACTATTATGCTGCGTCGTCTCACGCATAATCGACAGCGAAAATTCTTTTTTTTAATCATTAGAAAACGTCATTAAATTGTGTGTATAAAATGAGCCTTCAAAATCTTCGCTTGCTTGTTCTCGATCTTTGCAAGTTCTATCATTTTATTATTTTCAATAGGTAAACTTATTTTGTACACATATCATCGACAACAGCAACGGCTCATCGAATTTTCTAGAAAATGCGACCGCGCGCGCGAGCGCATCGTTTAGCGGAGACGTTACGCGCGATCGTCAATTCCACTCGCGGATTTCCTGTTCGCGCATGACTATTATTCCGCAAATTGAAAAAGAGAATCGGAGCCAATCAACCTCATTACTCGGATGTCACTTTAAAATAATAACTGTTGGCGAATATCAGGCTTGTTAAAAAGAAGCCCCGTGCCGCGGAGACAATATATATACGCCGATTGCCGTCACTTCTGCACTCTTAGTTCTTAGAATTCGCCTAATTGTCTATAGCACAGAAAATCGCCGTGTGAAACCGCCAAGTCATAAAATCGCCGCGATCTTTTCCTTTGATCGAATAACTTGATCAGGGATAATTAAAATAAAATGTAACTTTCAATTTTGTGTGAAGTGTATGTTACTTGTAAGAATAAACTGAATCCTTTTGTTTATGGAAAAGAAAGAAGCACATTAAACATTTAAATTCTTGTTGCGCCATCCTTGTGCCGTCCTCACGCCTCACTTGCTTTCGCGATGCATTCTCATACATATATATACTACACACATATAATTGACACATAATTTGAATAACACGTATGCGGAAATAAAGAGAAAGTATGCTTTTCTAATTATATCAACAGCAATTATGGATTCTTTATCGGATGAATTATATGTACTGAGTAACGGAAGGTCATCGATTAAATTTACAACTGTTTATCCATTCTTCGTACGTACCGGATTTGTTAAAAATATATATTTTAGGTAATTTTACAACAATATACTATTGTAAACAATTTTTTATATCATTCGTATCATGTGCTTTGTATCACGTGCGCAATCCATTCCTTTTATACATTTTTACATATATGTATACATATATGATGAAAACAAATTTTTATTTTAATAAATCTTTATTGTAATAAGTATAATAATAAAAAAATTGTAATAAGTGCTTTTTATATATCATCAATAATAATGATAATTAATTAATAAGATGTTTGTGACCGTTTTCTGTAACAAAATAAGATTAAATTTTATTTTATTTACCGATATAGGTTTCCATGGTTAATACGAGATCTTTTACCGCAAGAAATGGCTTTGTCAATAATTAATGCACAAAGACAAAATTATAAAAATCAAATTATACCTCCATACTGGTCATCTATTTTGAAGATAAAAAGGTATGTATGAATCATGACACAAAGAAATTTTATCATAAATATAGGTACATAATATATTTTAAAATATAT